GCTTCTTGTATGATTCTCATTCATATATATTGATTTTTGTCTACCTTGGGCTAAATCTACAGACCTCGCCTAAGGATTCTGGAGCTGTTCTTCAAGAAATTGTTGAGTCATTGAGTTTCAAGGTAAAACAGCAATTGCAAGCGTCTTATAACGGTCATAGCTGGCCTTGGATTAAAAAAAAGATCATTTCTTTTGATTTCAGTCTGAAGACTCATTGTCTTCTGCACATTCATAGAAGTCTATTTATGAATTGCCTTCGACAATTCTATTTTATTGTGAATGTCAGTCTCTCTGGTTCTTAAAAAAGCTTGCATGCACACACACACACACAGGTTTGCAGTTATATCTTTGGGGGACTCTAAATTAATTTCTATGGGGAAAACTTTAATCCCAACAAGACGACCCTAACCCCTATGCACCCCTGACTTTAAACATAAGTAACCAAACAAAACATTTTTAGTTTTTTGATCGCAGTCACAGATCTTTGTGTGGACTTGAAAAATGGTCCCTACAACGTCAAAATGTTGTCACATTGTAGGGGACATTTGGTCCACACTATATAATATAAACATAATCCACACACACACACACACACACACACATACACACACACATGCAAACATAATACCCACATGAGGCATGTATGTATCCATCAGCTAAAAACATTTCTTACAGATGAAGTATTGCTGCTCTGGTCATTATGGTACTCCCTTCCACTGTCTTTGTTGTTTCTGCAAAATGTTTGATGTTCATGCACAGATATTTGCTGCAAAGCACTCGAGTACTTTACTCGTATTTTTTATTGACTATAGGGGTGTCAACAAAGTCTAACAAGCTCTAAATCATGGTTCCCCGGCTCTGGTCCTAGAAGGTCCGAATCCTACACAGTTTGCAGATTTCCTTGCTCAAACACATCTGAATCAGCAAATGAACAGGATAAGTAGGCGTGTCTGAACAGAGAAATCCGCAAGCTGTGTTGCAAACTGGCCTTCCCGGATGGGAATTGGGGTAGCCTGCTTTAAAGTTTACAAGAAAAAATATATATGAGCCTAGGCATCGCTGAACATTTTCGGGGCTGGTCCTTCAGCTATGTAGGGTTGCTAAATGTGTTTGGTATTTTGTAATATTTCAAATAGTCTCAATTTTTATGTACATGCCTGCCTGTTGTGCACATGGAGCAAACACCATTATTCATGGTGTGTGTGTCTGTGTGTGTGCATACCACACATACATGTGGATGTGTGCACGAGTCACCAGCAATTGTGCAAAAACCTGAGTAGACGCTGCTGTTATTTTTTGATACCGTAGCATCGGGGCTCTATCTGGGTGGCGTAATGGGACTCATTTTGTATAATGGGCCCATTACTGATTCTGACATCACCCCGTCCCACTGGAATCCGTAACACCCCAGGGAGGCCGTTGTGTCACACACTTTGATCTTTTGCCACTGCTGGTCGGGGGGGGGGGCTGTCTCTCCGCACGTTTTCTGCTGCTTGTGGCGTGGCAAAGCCTTCACGTTCCATCTCAGCCGGACAAGTAGAATTCGAGTGTGAGACTGTTTAGGTAGTTGATGGTGCCCGCTTCTAGGATGGCATGGACCCCTCCCTCCCCAATGAAGGAGTACTTTTCTTTGATGGGGGGTGGGGGGTAATTCTACTGAAACTGGAATCTGAGAAAGAACATATTAGGGTGAAGTTTGGGGTGAGATTGTGCCCACCCGGAGGGGCATGGCACCCAAGTCTGTGGAAAGTGAGATTTTATGAAGGCCTTCACCCTGCTACCCAGTCCGCCATGGTGACTTCATCGTCGCCCCTCATCCTCAAACTCATGCTCAGGAGTGCATCAGCATGTGGCCCCCATTAAGCTCAGTGAGTGGCTTTCGAGAAGCAGCAGGGATAGGAGCACTGCAGCCACACAGAAACCAACTGTCGCATCATCTTTGAAACCCACGCCTTTCTCACTCGGGATGGATGAGATTGGACCTTTCTAATTCTCGGCGAGGCAAAGACTCCAATTCATCAAGCCTGGCATGCAGGCTCAGTCAATGCCTGTCTTGTAAATGGAAGTTTTGGGGGGAAGCAAAAATCGGAGTGGCTTTCAGCGCGTGAGAGTCTCTGTTATGCCGCGCTGGCGGCGGTGTATATTAACAGCTTGAGAATCGGGAATCCTGCCCACTTCACCTGGCCCTACACAACGTCTGCAAGTGCGCCCTCGTGTTAATTAAACACTTTTTTTTCGAAAAAGTGCATCTTCCGTGAAAATCATCTCTTTGATTTTTTTTTTTTTTTTGTGGAGGATCCCGCTCTCGGCATGCTTCTTGAGCCAGAGACGCATTAAATCTTGAACTGATTGATTTGAGAATGTTGTATCGTTGGTGTCCCTTATTAGGTGTGGACTGTGATGAAGTGGCTCAGTCATCAGACTTAAGGCCTTGATGGATAATAGGCCGAGTGGCAGCCTGTCCTACACATCCTCGTTCAGGAGGTCTCTCAGGGTCCCTACAATGACATTCAAACACAGCGTGCAGATTCACAGAGCTTCTGAGTGAAGGGTATTCCTTTCTCGCCGATGAATGTGTTGGGAACTCAAACAAACTGCTTTGGGTTAACACTGGATTCTGAAAGGCCGATGTTCCCGCTTTATTTATTTGTGTTCCCTAAATCTCAGTAATACCCTTCAACACTGGAGAAACTGTGACGAATTGCTGCGGTCTTTCATCAGTAAAGTGGTTCCCCAAATTACTATAAGCAACATATTCTGTGTTGATTGATGGTTTCACAGTCCTCTGAAACATCATTACTATTATGCAGAGATTCCCAGCTGGCCACAATAAAATCATTGTGCTTTGATTTGAGTTCCTCTAGCCAGTATTTCACTAACATTGATACATATTTATGTGATATTAATTTATATTCTACAATCGTTATCTTTTGGGTCTCATTTAACGTTGGAAAACTTTGCAAAGAAAAATTATTATTTTCCAAAGGAATATACAGACCATTTAAAAAATGAAATCTGCAGGTATTACATACTAGTTTCTGAAGAAAGTGGATAGAATAGAGTGAGTTCTCAATTTCAGAACTATTTAAGGTCATTAAAGTGAGTTGGATATGTCTAGGTATGGGATCTTTCAGGAGAATTCCAGTTCCTACTCATTCTGACGCATTCATCTTTCCTTTCTTGAAACCCAGTATCACCAGTGAAACCAGGAGGACATAATACATGTCTGTGGAGGTTTCTTACGGGCGGAAGCACACAGTTCAGTCGCGTGGTTAACTGCAGTTCTTAATGGCGCTCTAATGAATGATGGCTTGGTCTCGTGCTTTCGCTTTATAGAGTAGTGCTGAAATCAAATGAGAAACAAAGCTGTATTGATGCTAAGTGTCATGCAGACCATCCGTCAATGTATATTTCAGATCCGAAATGCGGTCGTCTGTCTCATTCACATGTACCGTAATTTCTTCGGGGGGAATAAAGATAAACATCTCTAAATATGAGATCAAACGCCTTTTAAAACATAATCAGCCTAAACAATCATATCCTGTCCAATAGACAGCTTCATCGCACATTACATAAACCCTATTGGCATCATATCAAATTTTTGTCCGTAATGAACTATGAATTACAGGCTCTAAATGATTTTATATTTATTATCCATAAAACCAAAAACATTCATATTTTTAACTTAAAACTGCACTGAGAGTCATGTGTATTGATGGACTGTAAAAACAGGGCACTTATTAAGGTATAAGTCTTACGCCGACTAACTAGGTAGCGGAAGTGGTAGTTAGGATTAATACGCGTCATTTTGCAGGAGATGCGTAAGCTGCCGTATATGCGTTAAAACGAGGCGCTCTCCGTACTCAAGAAATATCAAAACCCAGCTGTGATAACTCTCAGAATTTGCTAAGCTTGATTTGAATTTTTGGCATGACTTAAAGTATAGATGACTTCACGTAAAGTGAATTTTAAATAAGGTGAATGTTACTCTGCTATTAATTTTAAATTTTGTGCCCGTCATTTCCAAACAGGTATAAGATCTAAAACCTCCATAATTTAGGTCGCCCTTGGCGAATTTAAATTATAATGTATACCTCCAGTTGTGCCAGTCATCCAAATTCTTCCTGGGTTGTTAGATAATAACTGGAACTGCTGATTTGCTGTTATAGAGCTTTTAAAAACGAGGATCGTGTAAGTAATTTAATAAATGCATGATTCAACATTCTTTTTTGGAGGGGGGGGGGCGTACACTGGTAACAAAGAAAGGCTGTGACAATTAAATGAACAATTCTAACCGGAGCTATCAACAGTTATATCGGTTTATCTTGTGTAAACGGGGGATTCTCGCATAAATAACATGCCACATCTGGTGTGTCTGCTTTGCAGCTTCTTAGTTACCAAACGATTTATTACTTATATTCTTCTCCACGGCGAGACAAGGACGATTGAATCAAAGGGGGCCCTTATTTCTTATACAATCTGCCGTATGACTGGTTCTCTGTTTATTTTTGTCCTAAATGTTACTGTTGCAATATTAAAGACACATATACATTCATAACGATTTGAAAACGAGCACAAAAGGGACACATACAAAACAAAACGCACATACACACAAAACACATAAGCGTGTAAATGAGTGCGTATGTTATATATACACATACACACGCGTATTGTGCTTTTTTTCTTTTACTGACAACAACCTGTATAAGAAACTTGCGATGAACCAGCTAAAAGCACCAAGAAGAGGGGCCGTGTTTGCGCTTATGACCAGTTTATTGCCGATGAACATATGGCCAATATTTTGCCTCGCGTCATAGCTGGGGAAAACAAACATCATGCAATGTTAGCGAGAGAGCAAGAGCAGAGCCACTTGGACAGCTATGCAAACGCACTTGGACAATATCAGAAGAGGAGCACTTGCTTTCTGGGTATATAAAGCACATCAAGCTTATCTCTGCACGCACTCCTGACTTCCATTTGGAGATATTTCATTAACTCCAAGCTGTCTTAACGCTGGCTTCACCACTTAGCCCCTTTCATCAGTCACCAGGTGAGCACAATATATGCCTTTATTATTTAACCCCTTCGAATGCGATATAAGGTAGGTTGTGCGCGGAATAGTCAAGCGAAATCACTTGTGAATTAATTCAGTTCGTGGTGACTTCCAATATCGCCGCTTGCCTGTGTAGCTCTTGCAATAACCTGCTTTTAATCGAGTTATGATACATTTGTAGACCAATAATTAAAATATTTAAAACTTTTTATGCTCGATTGAATAATATCAGAAATTGGTTTCCTTGCTGATTGCGAATTCGTTTTGTTGTTGCCGTACGGTGGTCTTCCATCCGCGACGATTGTATTTGATATATTTATTGCGGATTAAAACACAAACACTGTTTAGATAGCAGGTTTATCCCTTTGCATTAGTGATTAGAGTAATTTGAGATAAATAAATTAACGCGCTGATACTTTTAACGGTACCGAGGTTAAAGTTTCACCAAACTGGATTTAAACAAACGTCACTTTACTTCTTTTTCAAGTTATCAGTGGGGAAATTCACTTCTCCTCATATCTTCTAGAGACGTTTAATAGGTATTGAACTCGGAAACACTCGTTGCTGCCTTAATTGCTTGTCACTTGGCTGACAATTTTCACTTTTTCAAATAATTATTTTTACGTCTCTGTGGTTTTATGCCATGCAAATACAAAAAAAAATGCACGTTTTAAACATATGTTCCGGGTTGCTAAGAAGTGGACCTGGCGCTGAACAGTCGTAATCTTATTTCGAATTATCTTAAAATGAACTAACAAATGATATGCCCTTATGGGTTTTCTCAGTATAATGTTTAAATGCAAAACGAAGCAGCAGTAAGAAAATATACATGTAGCATATATGTGATTTGTCTTACGTTCCATTTTTGTTTATAAACTCGTTATTTCTACGAGAATTCATTCCCCATTATTACAATTTGAATGTATAGTTTATAGTTTAAACTCCCTCGCTCGTTGTAATCCCCTCCTTTGTGATGGCACAAAAATCCGTGTTCCGGAGAATAAACTGATGTGATTTTTCCCTCGGCAGTTCACCGCTATGTCAGTAGAGTTCGCTATAGTATTAGAAATGTCTATTCCTGGCTACTGGTTCCTAGTTGTATGTGACTAGTCAGTGTGAGATCGGAAAACACCTTTTATGCCCTGTTACAGTTTCTGTTCCAGTATGAGTTTAAAAAAGAAACCACAGTGATCTATTTCTCGTACATTTTAAACCAGTTATTTAAATCATTGCCAGAAGAATTCCCTTTTAATTATCGCCGTGATTGAATAGCCTACATGCATATAAATTGCTCAGTGGTTCCTTGTATAATTAATTTCAAGCAGGTCGCTACAACATGTACCAACGGCTCCTTCGTCTCTCTGATGTATTACATTAGAAGTGATTAAAAATAATAAGCTATTCGGCAATTTGTTTCAGAAAAGCCGATAAAGGACCAGAACGCGGAATTTAACATACTGCTGCATGAAATTCACCGTTACAAATAAACTCGTAGTTTAACAAATAAAGGCATCTCCTCGGGGCAGAAGCGCGGCGCTAATCTCGTTGTGACATGTTTAATCATTAGAGGAAGGAAAACGAATAAAAGCGTAGTGTTTGCCTTGGAGGGAAAAAGGCCAGATTTCTGGAATAAAAACGCTGAAAAAAGATTTGTGCCGCAAGGGAACTTCCGCAGGCAACCAGTAAGACGCACAAATGAAACGGACATACTTTTACCTGAATATAATACATAGACTTATGGTAATTAAAAATCTTCCTTGTCAGTTTATACATTTTATCATGAACCCCGCGAGGAAAAGCAGGTTACCTTTATCAAAACCGAGCAGCTAGCCCCGGGCGTCGGAACACTGAAATTCGGCGATTACAAAAGCAAAGATCAATGCTATTATATATCTTCCGCTGGCATTCCCAATATGTTAGATAGGATTATTACTTCATTTGGTGGTTTGAATAAGAAATCATTTGTCTTTGAATTCCAAACAATGATGTTTTCACAGACAGAATATGTATTATTGTTTTTGCCTGCGCCATCTTCCCATAAAGGTACAATAAAATTACGCAAGGTGTCAAATTGTCATTCTTGCTATTTACCAGTGTATTTATATTTGAAACGGTGTCAGACTTCTTTGAAAACTTATTACTTATGTACGCATACATATTTAATTGTACAAATGATCTGTAATTTGCGTGCAGCATAGTGACCAAATGCGCCCCACTAAACAACATATATATATATATATATATATATATATATATATATATATATATATATATATATATATATATATATTAATAGGAAGTATAAAATTGTCATTTTACTCGTACCCTGCCATACGGCAATACAAGGTCCCGGTATTTTCACGTACATCGTCAGGGACACTTGCGTTGAAATAATGAGCAAACTCAATTTACTCAGAATATAAAAGCAAAGTATTATCCTGTGTTATGTGCTGTACTAAAACACAGCCTTCGAAAGAAGCATGGTTAGGATAGACGCTTATTCATTTTTGAAGCGACTTTAGAGTAGGCTATTATATGATAAATACGGTGATTACGTTATAGTTTTAGGCGATGCTTTCTCTGTTAGTTCAGCAGATTTACTATGCACACAGGGCAACAGGAACACAGATATATTAATGTTTTATACTTTATTCTATTGCATAAGTGTCGATATCTGAGATATTACTCTAATAATACCAAAACACTGCTAATACAGCTACTTATTCTGCTACTACTACTACTAACAATAATAAAATAATAATAATACCACATCGCTTTATTAATTGTGCGTGATAATTTGCGTGGTAATCAGGTCATGTTAGATTAAATGCTTATTACATACTTATTCTTTTTTTCTGTCCGCACTGCATATTCGTATTATGTTCTGTTTTACTAACTGTTCACCGACATGCATCTCTGGAACACTGAATGGTGCTCAGGGTGTGTTTCTATATCTGCCCTGAGTATCTTATTCCAGTGGCACTTACATTGTAGAAAGTCTGAATCAGGCAACTCAGACTGAACGTGCGTTGCGCACGTCGGATGTATTCGACGTCTGAATGGAAACGCAGTCGGTCTGTTTCAGCTACCTGTGAAAGTAAACAGGTAAACACAAGGAGAGGGCTCTTGAAGTGAAGTACAGCCACTTACTCTGTGTACATTTACCTCTTCTTTCCAAACCCCTTTAGTTCAATTGTTCAAATACATCCCCAATAAGCCACACTCGCATAGTCTCTCCTATTTCGAGTGGGAAAGAATAGCTATATGGAACGTTTGACATTTGCCTCGAAGATGTTTGACAAAGACGATCACTTTATAAGTAATACATAGTCGTGCGCATTCCTGAAGAATCTATCTGGACACAAATATGCTATAATATATGCGAATGCACGCTATTTTTGTCACCTAAATTATTATTTTCCCTGGTTGATTCTTTTCACACGCTAGTACGCATTTGCTTCTATAAGCGCTACTAGTAAATATCAGTTACTAAGCATTGCTTGACGCAGAAGGTCAGGCCCTACCCTTGCGAAAGCTTTAACAGCAACCGACTGCGTTCACTCCCTGATCACTTCAATGGGCCCATTGTGGTCTTAGTATAGATTGCACCATGATTAATTCGACGGCCAAAACCCTTAGTCCAGACTGAGTAAAAAATTTACCTATCGGTTGACTCTCGTCAGTAGTGCATGCCCCAAATAAGGGACCCAACTTACGCACCTACTTAATACCTATCCACAGTGGACTGTATTATTATTATTACTATTATTATTATTATTATTATTATTATTATTATTTTGTAGTTGTTTTGCTGTGTGTTTGTTAATTTGATCTATTAGCATTCGATTGACTTTATATAGTCCAGTTATACAATATTTAAGAAATTCGTTTAAATATGTATTTCGATATCATGCTTATTTTTCGAAACTTTGACAGTAAATACATTTGGCAAAATTCTGTTGATTCTAGTGAGTAATATAATCGGCATTATGTTAGAGCAAGAAAATCGATTTTTATATGTGGCTGATATTGTCGTGAAGGGGGACTGTGTGTGTGCGCGCGAGTGTGTGTGTGTGTGTGCGCGCGCGCGCGCGCGAAGATGAAGGACTTTCCTTAATATTGTGGAAGGATTCAGAAATGAATGAAGAGATAGTCCATTGAAAGCAGCTGAATGCCATGACAACTAGGAACAACCTCAGATTTATTCCAAACAGTTAGAACGCATTGTACAGGGGCGTCAATCATCTATTATTTCACCCCTGAAATAAATGCAAAAACTGAGCCCGGACAAAGGCTTCCAACGGGAGCCGGACATTTGTCTACATCTTTGCCATTGTGCGCAGCTTAGCAATCGGTTTGTATTTGTGTTAGTCCGGGTCCGACCACCCAGGATGAGCTGAGGGCTCGCTAAAAACGTGAAACATTGTCACCCACATCACATACTAGATAGGAGGCAGGGAGGCTAAGAGAAAAAGAAAGGGGGGCAAAGTCCTGAGAAGGAAATAAACTGATCAACAATAATACATCGCTTTCTTATTTGCCAGAGATGGGAATGAATTTTATTTAAAAAGCTACAAAGTAACATTTTTTTAATTAAATGTAAGCCTGACGTCCTAAAAAATTAGATATCTAACGAATCTGGCTAAACAAACGAAATCAAGTAAATACTGATATTTCTTCTACAATTTCATTATATTAAGTTTTATTTATTAATTAAAATTATATCCATTAATTATTTCTGTGCTGAGTGCGCCTTCATGTGAGGAAAATCTTGCGGGTTATTTTACAATATGAAAGGTGTTTTCTGACGTTTCATATATTGCTGTAATCATCGGTTTTGATATGTATATAATAGAATCTTCTTTCTGACTTCTTTACATTTATTTTTTAAAGTTTTCAGATCTGTTTCCAGCAAAATTGAAACATCTGTCGGCAGCATTAAGTTTACAGTCCGCAACAGACAGAGGAAGAAGCGGTGTAAAAAAATCTTGTTGCGACCCGCTTGTACCTTTCGAAATAAACAAGAGTCCATGACTTAATGTTTAATGTATGCTCCTTGTCTTTAAGCCCGAACCAAAATATTGACCCAAAAGGTTTACATAAATTGGTCTCTTGCCATTTTAAATAAACGCATTTCGTGCAGATGAGAAACGATTATTGAAATTAATACACTTTTAAACGAGCGTTCAGACCACAGTTTAGCCCCTGTTGGCAACAAGCAATTTTCCAGGTTATTGCTTTTATATTTTTACATACGCGGAGAGTATTAACGCAAACGCTTTTCATGAGCAATTTGTTAAAACGCGCTTTCGAGTATGCGGAGGATGAAGCTACTTGGAGGTCCTTTGTATGTAAATAGGGTGTAAAAAAAGGCCCTCCCAATCTTTGTAATTAATTGACACGTTATACCACTCATCATGTTCTGAAGCACCAATAGTAGAGGCTCGGATCTTCCCAAAACCCACAATTTCACATCTGCAAACACTGTCTTCATCCACTTGACTCCCAAGACCCGCCCACACGTGTCCAACCTTTTGCGTTTTTAATGCTTTTTTCACTGCAGGTTCATGTGTTGAGACCAACCTTATATGGACTGATCAGACCGGTAATGGCTTATTTCCCCCTAGCACTCAGCAGTAGCGCAGTATCCATGAGCCAGATATAGTGCTTCAGCCACTTTGGCATTCTTCCTGGACTTACAGAAGTGATTCCTCTACTACTGTGGTAGCCAATGATTATCAGCCGCGCTTCGTTATTTGCTTTGACTGTAGTTAAATCTCAAACGGCACTAACCGGTCCCTTTTCAAAACTTCGATTCTCTTTTGTGTGTTTTTGAAACAGCGGATTGCCAAACTGGTGCAGCAACTTTCCTGCATAAATTTCCTCAGAATATGTCGTTGACCAACACAAAGACGGGCTTTTCTGTAAAGGACATTTTGGATCTCCCTGACACAAACGATGAGGACGGATCTATTACAGGAGTTGAGGAAGACACAGAGGGGACGGAAGCCACGAAAACGACTGGGGTTTTGGTGCAGAGTCCCTTAGAAAATGTTCAAAATCTGCCCTTAAAGAATCCATTTTACGATAATAGTGATAATCCCTACACAAGATGGCTTGCCGCTACAGACAGCATTCAATATTCATGTAAGTACCGCTTGAGAAACCAAAGTTGCTCATCTACTGATACTGCCGAGAATAAATATTTCTGTTATCTGCAAGATCGCCTTCTGTGTATTGAAATTATTTTGATGAGTATTCATACGTTTGAGGACCTTGGCTAGTTGCTCTTGAATAATATCTGCCTTTCGTTTTAAATTATGATGTCTCCATGTATAACCACGGTAGAAGCATTCAGGTTTAGTGAGATGAAATGTCTAAAGTGACCTTCAGTATTTAGACTGTGAGTCAAAATAAGTGTAACCAAAATCTTATGCACACATACGAAGCTCCAAGTTCTTTATGCAATAAGAAAAATGTGAAGGTCTTTTTTTTGCATAATGCAGTTGTGTACCCACCTTGGTATACTGTTTAAGTATTTCATTTCAATATCAGCAAGTATTTCATTCAATATCAGGCAAACGCGATGTGATATAGTAGTGTTATGGAGTGATCGATGAAAAATTCACGTTTGTACGTTAAAATGTTCATTTGGCTTTTAAAGTTAGGCAGAAGATCGGTGTATGAAAGTCAGGCTTTAAATGCCTGTCAATATGCACACAGCGAACGCAACTTTTTCCGTAACTATCTGGCCGTTTTCCCATGCAGTGCAAGGTCTTTCGGCTAATTCCCAGCAAGACTCCTCTGCCAAATCTCCTGAGCCTTCCGCGGACGAATCGCAAGACAATGACAAGGAAACTTCTAGCAACGGCAGCGACTCCGGTAAGAAGAGAAAACGGAGAGTTTTGTTTTCCAAGGCTCAGACTTACGAACTGGAACGGCGATTCAGGCAGCAAAGGTACCTGTCGGCGCCTGAGAGAGAACACCTTGCTAGTCTAATTCGCCTGACACCTACACAAGTGAAAATCTGGTTCCAGAACCATCGGTACAAAATGAAGAGAGCTCGAGCAGAGAAAGGTATGGAAGTGACCCATCTACCCTCTCCTCGAAGGGTGGCTGTACCTGTTTTAGTCAGAGACGGCAAGCCCTGCCACACACTTAAAGCTCAGGACTTGGCGGCCACTTTCCAGGCTGGAATCCCGTTCTCGGCGTACAGTGCCCAGTCTCTTCAGCATATGCAATATAATGCTCAGTACAGCGCTGCCGCCACGCCGCCGTTCCCAGGCGCACATCATTTGGTGCAGACGCAACAGTGGACTTGGTGAACATTTAGAGACTGGCGGGAGCGGCGCTTTCACGTGATAGGGAGCAAAGAAAAAACAATAAAACAAAAAATAAAGACTTTGCATTTTTTGCAGCTTGACCCATATCTACCGTTTTTAATTTGGGGCTGATATGTGCGTCACGTTTACAAGGTTTCTTCACGAGAACCGAGTGCAGCCTCTCCCTCGATCTAAGAATGTCAATGCGCTTGTGAAATTTTGTAAAGTATGTTTGTGTGTTGTAGAGATGTTTTTTTTTCTTCTTGTCACCCGTGTAACAAGCACGTACAGAAACCACTTTAAAATTATATAGACCTTTATTTCCAGCTGCTTTTACACTGGACCTAAATATTTATGGCCTTGAATAAAACCTTGGCAAGTTTTAGCTTATTTTATTTTTTCTTCTTTCTTTTTTGTAAATATTTAGTGGTAATTGTTTGCAATGCAGTTCACTTTCCAGGATATTTAGCTGGAAACGTGTATTTCCCAATTTCAAAGAAAAAAAGACACAACATTGTGAATAAGCTGTCAAAAGAATTCGTTTAGCTCTATTGTAATTATGTGAATAACCGTTTAAACGCGCTGGTGGGGCAAAGTCCCGATTTTTATAAGAATTTTAATAAAATGCTGTGTTTCCGAATATAAGATTAAGCGTGTCTTAAATCCGTTTATTGGACAATGCATTTTAAAATCATCTTTCAGACGATCGTGCTCTTGAATATGTTTTCTCATCTGTGGTGGAGTTTGTGAGAATCGTAGACCATTTCACTAAATACTATAAGACAAATGGAATGTTTTAAATATGTTTGGCCGGATTTTGTTTCTGCAAAGGCTCAACGGCGTGAGCGGTGCGCACTGGGAATGTTGAACGCAAATTAATCCGTGTATATATCAATATATATATATATATAACGTGTTTTGCTACTTAAATAGTTGAAAAGGACAAAGTCACTTGTGAAATGCGTTAAACATCCACTCGTCGCGTAAGAGGACTTCTTCAGCTCAGGACCTTCTGATTGTATGAGTATTACAAAGACTCTCTTTTTCATGATCTTGAGGCGCTTAACCATTTTGTTTATCCTGTTCCACAAATTTTAATTAATTGGAAAGTAAATGTGTTATCGTTATGCCTTATGCCTTTCTTTTTAATGAAAGAAAAATGTAACGATCCATTATGTGGACAATGTGCAAAAGGCAAAACAATTTATTCTCAGTAACTGACCACGAATGAGGTTTTCCGCCTATTGTTAATATAGCGAGTATGGTATACCGGCGTTGGTATTTCGTTGCTATATTTTTCTGGCTAAAGTAATGTTTTAAGCAACAAATAAGAGAAGATGTTTGATTTTATTAAACATATTGCAGATTAACTTTTCAGTATCAAAAGTACAAAATCTGAACACTTGGTAGGCCTGAATCCCAGTGCGGAAACCTTAACAGATGTTAGCCGCCGACCTCACTATCACTGAGCAAACTGCTAAATTGACACACATTGATAATTATTTACAGAATTTTGAGGGACCATTTGTTAGGTTCAGAACGTACTAGAGGGAAACCGAAAGGCGTCTACATATGAAGCTCAACGCCTAACATTTTATGTATAGTTATCTAGGTGAAATTAGGTAAATGCCTGTTTTAGCACCAGTGTTACATTAATTCTACCTTACTTTCTGTGTTTTCCGATACCTTAACGTATTAAGGTTTTAGGCCTATTACAGTAGGCCTATTTTATTCAATTTAAGTAGCTATTATTACAGATACAAATAATTGAGATTATTTGGGTAATTTATTTAATAAAACATTTGTAGTTAAAATATATATATTTGTTATTGTGTTAACTTGTGCTTGTTTTCCTCGTTTCGAATTTAATTCTACCTATTAATGTACAAGTGGCATCCACGTCAGTGTGAACACGGTAGGCCGCATCATCCGAATTATGTTTTGCTCAAACCGTTGACTTCACAGTTGCAAGTAGGAAGTTCTGTACAAAGTGTAGGTCTACAGGTTTTGCTTTTATTTAATGACATTAGTGTTTGTTTCTAAAGGTGCGGAGCCCGCATTCCTCTCTCCTTCAGCGGAGCCGTTTGGCTCTTGCTCACGTCAGTAGGACGCGTTGATTTCTCCGCGTTGCCAACCCCGCCGACCGTGCATTTAACAATCTGTCGGAAGAGTTTTGTGCAGTCTATCGTCGCACAATATACAGTACACGGCACAGAAAGGCGCCAAAGGCCAGAGGCCGGTAGTTGTGGATGTTAGAGGCGTGCATATTAACGAGGCTCAGAATGAAACTGTGGACAGTGTAGGGAGAGGAGACTATCAGAGTTTCTTGGTGCTATTCAGCTCCTTTATCTGGGGTCGTGCATCCCCGGGTTAGGAGAAGTATCCTTGGGTTTTGTCTTGCCTGTCAGTTGGTGTCATTGTGATCCTTGTTGTGCACGTTGTATTCCATATGGACAGCTGGCCTTAGGGAGGGAGAAAAGGATCTCTCACAAAAACCAAATTGTGTCCAGCTTTCAAATACAGCATTGTTGTCTCTCAAAGAAAAACGAATTAAAAATTCGCGCTATATCTTTCCTGGAAAAAGAAAACCCATTCACAGATAACAGGGAGTCCTTCTTCCTTGATATGGCTGTGTTAACAACAGTTACTCTCTGTCCCTCTTTCCTCTCCCCGGGTGAAAGAGAATGATTATTGTCTGTTCGCAAAAGTCTCCGTCCATTGTGGCACAAACTGTTTTAGAACTGTTAATTTTATCTCATCTTATTTCCTGTTTTCATTGTCTCGATATCACATTGACGGCATACTTGTTATCTCCATGGAAAAGAAAAAAAATAATAATAATTTCCACGCGGTAATCATGTAGAATAAAATTTATTTGGATTTTGGAAGTCGGATTGTGTTTCGGGAAATATACTAAATTAAGGCTGATATATCTATACCTTTTGGGAATCGAACCATCTTTAATATATTTTTTAATGCAAGATTAATAAAAAACATCTAACTGCACTTATGCGCATTTGTTAGTTAACAGTTTTGTTTACGAATCGTTGTGTTTGGCCGTTGAGGTTTTATTAACTGAAATAACCCATTCTATCCGTTCGGGAAGCAGAAAACACAAATGAAGTTAAAATATTGCCATGAACACCGACGTGGGTATAATATATAGGCTTATACAGATGTCAGATCTTGTGTCAACAGCAGTAATCATACCGTGTAATTCATAAAAATGATCAGCTGTATAATTAGAACTCTCTCGAGCTCGGTTTTCCAGAGTTCACGCGGCGTACTGCAAAATGTATTGCTGCTATTCCGTTATAGATAAACGACATAAAAACCTACAACTTTTATCGATAAATATACGCATTTTTTATTCTTTATTTATTATTCACTAACAAATTTCATATTTTTGGTTTGTTAGTGTGTGTGTTTTCCCGTGACGAATTACGTTACATTATGCTTTCAAAACTACCCCAAATGTCGCGTTATTTTACTATAATAATAATTTGGCAGAAGATTCAAATGTAAATTTGAGAGGCCGAATGTTACACCCTGTAGCTGCCCCCGGGTACGACTGAGCCTTCAGTAACTTACAGTGAAAAAATTACTAACAACATAAATGCTTGCATTTGTTTCCAACCTAATATCAGTTAGAAGCACTTGTGAGGTTGTCGATTATTCATGCTTAAAGTGCAGAATTGTGTCTCCATCTTTTGCGGTGTAATGCAATCCATTTTGCGCTTATATTTATACAATCCATCTCCATAGTCCTGTGCTACTGCAACAGACACACGATTATCTGAGATTGTTTTGAAGAATTTATTTTAAAATGAATGAAAAGGCTTAAAGTATATTCCTGAGAAATAGCCTGACATGCCTTAAAATGGTATAGTTCAGGAAATATGCACTTATGACTCATCGGAGCTCCACTATGGTGACCCTACCAACCTTTGCATAAATCATACCTTATCGGGTAAATCTCCAAATAAACGAGGATCTCTAAACTATAATAACCAAGGCTTTCATTTAAAGGAAACAATCTATCTTTCATTGGCTTATATAAGATCCAGATTAGATTCGCTTACCATTTCGTCACAAATATCACACTTCAGTGTTATGAGAAACGACGTTCGTAAAGTCCTTGCGCGCCTCTACCACAAGATGGAGACAGAAGACTTCAAATGGGCACAACACGTCTCCACTAAAATTGTTTGGTTTCAGTTTTTCAGATAAACCCCTCTTTGGCATCTTATAAATTTATTACCGATGCAATTGATCTATAATTTTAAATATAATGTAATCAAGCCAACATAAAATTTATTTAATATAAGATTTTTCTCGCTGAATCATTTTTTGTACGTCTTTCCAAACGTGGTTAAGCACTTCTTGTCAAAGGTTATGTTTTCTTGCGTACACTGCAACACTTCTGTCGTACCATTTAGTATCGATGGCATTTAAAACAGGTTAAAATATCCCATATCAATAGATTCACTGAACATTATATTGGTTCAGTCATACTAACTGCCTCTAAACATGACAGGGACGTAATTCAGGTTGGTGAAATCTAACCTAACTGTCGAATAAAAAATTATGTACGATGGGGACTTGCGAATCCGCAGAGTGGCGCAATTGCCTAATGGAAGAATTGCGAGGAAAGCTGAAGCGTGTTTCTACAACAATATCACCTGTAATGATTTGTATTGAACTTAACTCGATATGATTTTACGTGTACCTATATATATGGTGGTACAATACGGTGGTGAAATGTGTGTGTGTGTGTGTGTGTGTGTGTGTGTGTGTGTGTGTGTGTATATATATATATATATATATATATATATATATATGTATGTATACACACACACACAAACTATTTGCGTGTCTTTTGAAACTACGTCATATTTTAGTGTCAGTCTTAATTTACACGTCTATACGTAGATTGCTTTATACTTAATTACACTGTCATAAATATCGCTGAATGTATCAAAACAAACCCGAAGAGATGAGATGCTAGACCTGCGATGATAAGAGTAACAATCATCGTCGTCGTCATCATCATCATCATCATCATCATCATCATCACTATTAGGCTTTTGTGTATAGAAGTACAAACGAGTCATTATCACCTCGAGACATTGACCTTTTAAAAGACTAATACGATAGACAATATCGGCAAAACCACGATGGTCGGAGTTATCAAGTTGCTTAATTTATTGCGGCAGCTTAAACATCACACGACGCTTCCCCGTTCTCCTAAAGAGAGGTGGCGCCCTGTCCACGCGAATCGTAGGATGTATCCCTCTACGGCAACAATTACTGCGACACAAGCGACTTTTCCACTACGGGTCGTTTTTCTATAGAACGCTAATACCTAAAACGACGTCACACGCCTTTATACTTTGCCAATACGCTAACTCCATTATGTGCTGTGGCATAAAGCCCATGATTTGCTGCTGTTAACAGGATGGGTAATCTGACAGTACGGCGCAAGAGTCTTAGACAGTAAAAGGAAATGGTGTTTAAATGATCTCCACGTTGGTGTAAAACTATTATATTATGTCTGTAAAAATTCTGTTAAC